ATCTTCTAGCATAAGGCCATACTTAACACACACACACACACACACACACACACACACACACACACCTCAATGAGGCTAAATGGTCCAAGGCATTAAACTTAGTGGTTAAAATCCTGGAATCTGGATGGTCTCCAGACCTATGGCTCTGCCACTTACAAGTTGTGTGAGCTGAGCCAGTAAGAGACCACTTTAGACCCATACAGGAGACAGTCAAGGGATGAGCAGGGCCCCCAGAAGGATGTGTTTTCTAGAATGAAGTGTTTTGAACAGGTAGGGCTTAGCTGAGCACTGATGGGGAAGAAGGATGGGTGTAAAGGTTGTACAGGACCTGAGCTCCAAGCATAGCCACACGAGCATGCATGCCTGTTGCCCATAAACTGCTGCCTTCTGCCCTGTATCACTGTGAACATTTGACTGCAGAAACAGAGAAGCCAGCTGAAGTTAGTCACATGCGTTAGCTCACCCTGGAATCCAGGGCCTTGTAGGTCTGGAGTCGGTCCAGCAGCAGGATCTTTAGGCTTTTCTGCTCTCTTCTCTGCCATTTAGGCACTCTCTTATGACTGGTTTCCATTGCAGTTGTGGGCAAAGCCATTGATGGCAGCAGAGATTCCATGCAAAGAAGGGATAGTATACTAGCTTTGCTGGATCTTTCTCTGGTAGCACCAAAATGTTTCCCTTCCCATTATCCCTGGCAAATCTCTCTTTGGCCTGTGAGGTTTCAGGATTTGTGTGTGGAAATGCCAGCTACTTTAAAGAAAAGGGAGAGTGCAATAGAGGATGTTAGGTATCCCACAGAGTCATTAGGAGAGCTGAAGAAGAGAACTGGAGGGTAAGCTTCTAGGAAAAATGCCCCAAACCACACAGCAGAGTTCGCCAGATGAACTAACCACCACTCTGTCTTTGCTGCCCTGAAGCTCTGGGTGCCAAGAGTTTGCTCTTCCTGCAACCGCTGCTGCCGTCAGCACCAGGCCACTTCTCTATCAGGAGCATGACCCTGCAACCACCATCGTCAAAAGCTGCCAGAGTCACATCAACAGAACTGTCTCATGCCAGGATTTAGCCACACGAGGCCTCTCTGACTGGCAGGACCTGCATCATATTCCTTGACCTACCTGAAAAGGAAGCAGGAATTTGCATCTTCATATCTATTTTGGGGTACAGGGACTTATGATAGAAGATATTTTTCAAATACAGATAAGCTAGAGATGTGACAGTTGTCTATGACAGCCTGCCCACACCCGACTGGGCAAAGGGGTAGGATTCTATAATGAGCTTGAATTAACCAGTAGGAAAGGGTAGACATCTGGGGACCAGCGGCTTCAGCCACAAACCCTTATGCTTTGGCTTGGTTCACTCCTTCCCAGTGTTGGCATGTGCTCAGGGTGCATTCACCAGTTAAGATGCTGCCAAAGGTGCATCCTGCCCTTGCAACCACAGACACTATTTCTTGCCGATCCATCTGTGTTGCCCGACTCCAGAATGTGGTCCCCTCTCCCGCTTGCCTGTTTGGCTCTGATGCAGCACTCACTTCAAACAAGTTCTTTCCTGCCATTGTGTCCATTCATTGGGATGTGGCCATTTCTCTTTTTTCCCCTTTTGTTCTACTTATTACATTATATTTCAGTAGTTATTGACCCAATTAATTATTTCATAGCCCTCTCCCTCTAGGCCGTTCAAGTGATGAGAGGACAAAATATGACTGTTTTGTTCTTAGCCACTAACACATTACCTGACACTTAAGGGCTTAATATATTTTATTGAACAAATGAGCATTAAACAAATCCCATTATAGGGATATACAAAATCCATCTTGGATCAAAAGGCATTTTATATCATATACTCCTAAACTTACACCATATACCCTATATCCTCGGAAGTATATAGACTAAAATCACCCAACTTTTTTTCAAACAATACCTTCATAGATCTTGCTATGTTCAGCTCTTTCCTGTAAGGAATTCATTGCTATTGATGGGAACATGTTGTATGCTATGGTTGAAACCTGAATTTGGGGTACTAAACCTTGCCCCTAGTCATATTATTGTGGTGTTACTAACTCTCAACCTTGCAGTAATTCACTTAAGAAATTGCAACTAAGTTATTTTTTTCTTTTGTTTTTGCTTATGGAGGAATTAAGTTAAATCTTTTTAAAAATGAGTGGATTTTCTTATATAAGGGGAGCTCTTTATAAAATAGGCTGCTACTGTTCAAGGAAACTGGAAAGCAAGAGCTTTGAGGTAGTGGTTTCCTTGATTAGGAGGAACTGCTGGGGTAATTTTTGTCCATTAAAAAAAAAAAAATCACTGTTTCCATTGTGCTGGAAACTAATTTTACTCCCATGTCTAAGCACATCTTCCAGTGTGATTTGGAGTTTATATTGGGAGATGAGGAAAGAATAAATATCACAGAGACTCATCCATGGTAATAAAAGCTAAAATTTACCGAATGGTTAATTTGCATGAGGCATTTTCATACACTGCTTCAGATACATTAAGTTGGTTAATCCTCCCAACAGCTTAAGTATGCCCCTTCTTAAAATAAGAATCTTGAGGCACACTCCACCCCAAGGGGAACATACAGATCTTAGGCTAGAGCCTTGACCTCAGGGGATTTTTTACATTTTCTATGTTATAAAACTATCGGCTTTGGGGGACAGACAAGAACTTTATTGGTCATGCAGGTCAGTTTGTGTTTGCAGACAATCAGACCTGTGTGGAACCCTAACTCTGTTACTTAGCAACTACAAGCCCTTAAGCAAGTTCTCTTATCTGAGAAATGGGAACAATCATAATTTTCATGTGGGAATTTGTGATGGCTAATTTTGGGCATTGACTACACTGGATAAAGGACACCCAAGTAGCTTCTAATATATTATTTCTGGGCAAGTCTATAGAGTGTGTTTCTAGAAAAGATTGTAATTTGAATCAGAGGATGACTAAGGAAGAGAAGATCTCTCATCTCAAATAGTTCAGGACCTGTATAAAACAAAAGGTAGAGTAGAAAAAAAAGGTAAATTTTCTCTCTATTCTTGAGTCAGAACACCAGTCTTTCCCCTTGAACATCAGAACCCCAGATCCTCTGGTCTTTGAACCCTGAGACTTGTACAAACAGCTCCAAAGTCTCTCAAATGTTCAGCCTCAGGCTGAGCTACACTATTTAACTCCTCTGGTTCCTAGGCCTTGTGACTTGAATTAAGTTAAGTAGCCAACTTCCTGGCTTTCAGCTTGCAGACAGTCTATCAGAGAGGACTTCTAAGTCTCTAAACAGATCCCCCTATATATCTATGTCTATTTCTTATGGGTTCTGTTTCTTGGGGGAACATTGACTAATATAAGGTTGTCAGGAGAACTAAACAAGTTAAATAAAAAAAAAAAAAAAAGGAGACCTGGAACTCTGTTCCACATCTTGTAGCTGCATGTTGAATGTGACTTCTGCTTTGCATCCCCTCTTCTACCTAGTAGGGTGGGTCATGTTGGTTTGTAGAGGGGGTATCCATATGTTTTGGCTTGGAGAGAAGAATTATCACTAGGGAGAGTGGACATGGTGGGCTGGCATTTGCTGACACGGATCGTACCATCAGGCAGACCCTGGGACAGGCTAAAGGGATAAACCACAACCTTCAAGGCTTCTGATTTTCAGCAGCTGGCCCAGAAGAGCTAACTCCTTGTGGTTTGTAGAACAGAAGCATCCCACAAGGCAGTGCTGAGTCCTGAACTCAGACTTAGGTTCACACTCTGTCTCACTCTGAATATTGTTTTAGTTCCTTCATGTGCAGAATTGAAATAATGTTGGTATCCACTTTAATAGGTCCATAATAAATGTTAGCCCCTCTTCTTTAGAAACATTTAGTTATTTATTTGGCAGAACCGGGGATTGAACTCAGGCCCTTGCGCTTGCCAGTCAAGCGCTTATTCTACTGAGCTATCTCCCCGGCCCCAGAAACAATTATTATGCTAAGATTCCAACCCCCTCCCTCTAGTGGATGTCGTCTCCCTAAAGTCACGCATATTCTGGTCAATGTCTTGTGTAGCATTTTTTTTTTTTTTTTTCTTTTTTTGGCGGAACCAGGGATTAAACTCAGGCCCTTGCGCTTGCCAGGCAAGCACTTATTCTACTGAACTATATTCCCCGGCATTTTTTTCTATTCTGCTTTCTATCAGCGAAATGTCTAAGGCAGCAACAAACCAAAATGTAGTCACATCGTTTTTCGGGGCCTTGTTTAGCGTCTTACACAGGAATCCCTCAGGAAATTTGAGGAATAAGAAGCATTTTATTGTCATCACCTCCACTGTGTCCAGGATTGTAGCAAATGACCTCCTAGAGGTGCCTCTTGTCACCTTGCGTTGGCTTTGGGGGAAACTGAGGACTGGGATTCAATCGCAGCATCCACAGGCAAGGAAGGACAAAGCCTTGGGATTGTTATGAAGGTGGGACTGAGGCTTTGTCATGGGCATAACATGAATAATTCCCGATTCCAACTCGAGCTCTGCCGTTTCCGGTGTGACCCAAACCAGGTATTTCACCTTGCCAAGCTTCCAGCCTTTGCTCTCATGAATGGAAAGGAGGGTAACACCCCTTTTCTGGAGCGTCGGGGTGGAGGGACAGTCTGGATCCAAATGGAGTTGTTAAAGTACTTGGCACGCAGTAAGCACTCAACGCCTGGTTCCCCATGGTTTCCATCACTGGGGTCTGAACCTCTGCATAAGTGCAAAGGTCTAGGGCCCTACGCATGCGCATGCGCGGCTGGTTGGCCAGGTGAGAGGGAGGCGTTCGTCCAGTACCTGGCGTTTAACCCTTGGCGGTCACGGGTGTTGTATAGAATTGATACACAGGTGGGAATGAGACGGGGCGGGAAATCGCGAAAACCAGCAGACCAGACCCGGGGTAGGGGAGGGCGGCATCTGCGGAGCACAACTCGTACAATCCAGGCCGGGGTCCGCGCAGCGTGGAAGGGGCGGGGGAGCGCAGGGCAGAACAAAGTCTCGCGAGATCTTGCGGCGGCGGCAGCGGCGGCGGTGGCGGCGGCGGCGTCTGGGAGGTGAGCGGCGGGCGGTGGCGGCGTTGTCGGCGGCAGTTGGGGGCTAAAGAGGGTGAGAGCGCCGGAGGACGAGGCCGGGCCTGGGGAGCGGGGCGGGCAGGCGGGCAGGTCGCGTCCTCACGGACCGCCTTAGCCCGCCCCGCGGCTGCC